CGGAATTTCTGATGATGTAACTGTTGGCAATTCCCATCCTTTGCCCATCACTTATTATCCCATTTGTCTACTTTCTTTTCGTTTCCACGGTGCACTTTTTGTTCCATGGTTTCCCGTTCGTCGAATTCTTCTCTGCCGCTAAAAGTAGCCACTGCCTGCATGCATTTGATAATTCTGTTTTCTCTCAGGACAGTCACGACTGAGAAAACCTTACCACATACAGTCTGTTTAAAAGCAACATCAACAAACGTTTATTGCGTCTGTATTCACTTTGTACATTTTACTCGTTTCGTTGCAACTCACATTTTTCCACTGTGCTTTATTGTAATAGTCGTCAAACTACTGTTCTGTTTCGTTTGCAGACGAGAAACTGTTACGAGCTTTCAGTACGGACTCAATGATCGGGTTTTCCGTGTTGCACGGTCCGTCTGCTCCGGGACGAGCTGTGCCAGCAGATGATACAGATCGGCAAACGGTATCCTCATTGGAAGGAAGCGTTACTGCTGCATCAGTTGATCATAATCGTTCTCTGATCCCCTCCGCCCGTTTGAGTCACGGCAGCGGAGACCTTGCAGATCATACGGTTCTTTCTGTTCCACTCAACGGTTTTCCTGGGGACAATGTGTCCCCCCCGGAGGAGGCGGATGAGACTGCAATGCTAGCCACTTTGGAACCAAGAAACCTGTTGGCAGATCTTTTGGAATATTGTTCCATTGTGATGCAAGATGTGAAAAGTACGTCCATTCAAAGTGTGAGGCACCAAAGTCTTTTAACTTGAAAAAATCTATCTGTATTAGGAGAAAAAAAGCTCCACGGAAACTGAATTGTACTGTGATCTGGGTAAACAATCACCGAGGTTTGCCTGTACTTAGTTGAAAAAGACATGTATACTATGCTATATTGTGATCAGTGTGGCTCCGTTGCTGAGTTTACGCATGAAAAGCATTATTCAACGCAAATGTTTTTAAACATTTTGGTGATTTTTCGAAGTTGATTAAAACACGTGTTGGACACGGTTACTATGCTTGTCTCTTTCTATAGGTGCTGCTCCGAGGTAAACGATTTAATGTGTAGACCAACAGGTGAAGTAGATCTGAGGTTTGCGTAGCTTGAGCAACTGAAACGCAAAACACCGTGTAGTTGGTCGGTTGAAACAGTGTAGGATTAGACTACATACTGGAAGCTCCTTAGCTTCCAGTATCAAGTTAGATTGTTTGTCGTAGCTTTGTTTAGAAAGTACACTGCTGATTCCTCGTGACCCAGGAGAACAATTTGCACGGTGCTTTCATGGTTTTTCAGCAATGCCAGACCAACTTACCTTACATGATAAATACACTTTTATCTGACTGGATCTTACCGTTTCATTACTGAACATTGTATGACTGGCTATCGGTACGCACTTGGGATCACCACAAAAAATTGCCACTACGATGTGTTGAATAAATATCAACTATTTACACTCTGGTGCACCTCATCGGACGGTCGTAATGTGCCTCTTTGGTTCTACCCATCTCGATATATTCTCCCAATGAAAGCCTTAGTTGTAAATGAATCAGCACCACCGCTTGCGAAATCTTTTTTCATAAATTAGCTTAGACGGTTGTTTTGGGTGTCAATAACGAGGGTACCTTGAATTAAATGAGAGATAAGTTCATATAAATTCCTTGATATATCAATTGCTACTGTTTCCTCTCTTCCTCTCCTCATCCCACCTCGATCAGCACCGGAATCGCTCAACAGCTGTCACTTGTGCCTTATTATTGTACTATGCATCATTCAGGTGAGCTGTTTCATCTTACCTGTCGGTTTTTTATGCAGATTTCGGGTTGAAACACCATATGTCTGCTCTGATCATCGGTGTTTGTTTCTGCTATATTTTTCCATGATAACGTGTTCCTAAAGTTCTCAAACCCATCGACTCACTTATTCACACTTCGATTTTCCATCTTCATGGTTTCCGTTGTCGCATCGGCGTTCAGTATGCTAGTTTTCACGTGACCACTGCGTTGTTCCCCTCCCCCCCCCCCCCCCCCNCCCACACACACGCGCGCATTTTATGCGTTATTTATCGTTCTGTCGATGCTCACTTGTCTCTCCCATCGCTGCGACACCAGTGAGGATTGTTTTATTCTCAATTTATGTTAGATATTTCAGCTATGAAGATGATTTTATTGAGTCCATAAGTTCTCTGGACAGTCGACGAGTATTCGGTAATTAGGCTCCGATAATTTATCACCACTATTCCCGGTGCACTCTTAATTCTCTTTAATTACTTTTGGATTCGCCAAGGGGTAGGCTTTTCCCATTTCGCAATTCTTATGGGGAACCGAAGTATCCATTCATCGCCTATATTGTGATAAACGCTACTTCGTTCACTGCTGAACCCACTACTCTTCCATAATACATCCAAGTTCTAACGAGTTTGAAACTCTATTTTCAGAAAATGTATTCATGTTTAAAGAAGACTGGGAGTTTTATTTAGACAAGCCCTGGTATTTTGTTATTCATGTTCTGCCGCCCTTTTGTGTCTTTGTAATCAGCAGCTTCAATTTGACTCCAAAACTGTCGTTATTTTCTTTTTCTACTAGTATGTAAATTTCGACGTAATTTGGCAGGTATAAACCTGCTAGTCGGTCGAATTCAGATTAGTAGGCTTCGCTGGTTAGGGCACGTGTGGCGTAGGCTCAGTTACCGTCTACCACATCGCGCCTTATTCGCTGTATCTAATCCGGGCTGGAGGAAGCCACGTTGAGGTCAACAGATGACGTGGAGACGAGGCATGAAGAAATGTACAAAGCCATTAGGTAGAGTAGGTGTCTCTCGCCTTTCGAGTTGGAGTCCCGAAAGACTCCACAACTGGTTGGTTGGAGACAATGAAGGATATAGCAGCGAACCGACATTAGTGACGTTTTTAGTGTCATTTCTTACCAGACCAGAAACGGTATGTATGCAGACAAAGTTCGATTGTGCACTTTGTGTGTTGACCGTAAAAGTTCACCTTCCCCCTCCCTCAAAATAGATCCAATCCCTGTCCACCTTAAATTTTACCACTAACTTTGTATGCATTACGAGTTTAGCAGCGATCAGTGGAGTTCACTTTATTGTATTTCGCTGTGCGATGATTATATATATATATATATATATATATATATAATTCACGTACTACTTATTATGAAATACTCTACAAAGACCATCAGGTCATGTTTGTTGTGGTTAGTAGCATCTAACCCACTTACAAAACATCGAGTCATAGCATTCATTGTTCATTGGACTGAAAGAGCTGTCTATCCAATGGTTACCTGGTGTTGCAAACAAGGTTATTGTGACGAAAATACACTTCCTGGGTACAAGTATATGAATGAACTGACAAAAGATTACCGGTTACGCATGCGTGACGAGAATCACCAAACCGGT